AGGGTAAGCTAGTTTAAACAAAGATTAATCATACATCAATTTATTTAACTTCATACAATCATACTATTCATTCACATCACATAAACTCTTCACACATAACATTACACTGACTTTGACCATCCAGACTTAGAATGATTGCCGAGCCATGGCGGGTCGTGCACTCGTGATGACTTCTACTGCTTTGCACAACCATTGCCAATGGGTTTCACTCTACCATACTCACGAGGTTAGTCCGTTATCACTTACTTTGGGTCATACTGGAAGCACCCAAGACTAGGACCTCCTACTACTCCTCACGACATGGATCAATCCTCTTTACTTGAGAATGAAAGACCATTGGAGTTTCAGGATAACCCCCAAGACTAAGCTCCTGCATCCATTCTAAACTTACTTGAATCTCAACTAGAGATTTCACTTTGAATCACAACATAGGGCACCACTATGTCTCCTTTCCTTGAGGATCATGGAATTACATCTATTAACCATACTTTGAACTTTACACTTTGAATTACAACATATATATCAATAACCACTGATATTACATGATACAACTTCAACTTACTCCATACAACACTCAATGTTTCATTTAAAACAACTTAAGATCAAAAGAGAATTGAACTAGAACTGAACTCCTCGCACAGCGCACACCTTCGCATAGCGAAACCATAAGCTTCTCGCACAGCGACCAAACTCGCCATGCGAATCCTCAAACAGAGACCAACTTCTCATAACCACTCGCATAACGGTTAAACTCGCTATGCGAATAAATTGTGAAATGTATCAGACCCCAAACCCCTCGCATAACGTCCCAACTCGCTATGCGAGAACCTCATACAGAGACTCAGACTTCCTAAACACTCGCAGAGTAAGACCCACTCGATGTTCGAATAAAATGAATAATAGTTTCAGACCTCAACCAGTAACATAGCGACTTGATTCGCTATGCGTATCGACAAGCATAGAGCAACCCTCTCGATCCACTCGCACAGCGCACCCATCGCTATGTGAATGCCTTGACAGAGAGCACCTTGCCAAGGTGACTCGCTGTGCGAATCCATTCGCACAGCGAGTCTGCATAATCTGCAGAACGAAATTCTGCAGACTTATGCAACTCAACCACCACTTACCAATTCTACTCAATTTTCCCAACTTCTAACACTCCTAGATCGTTGTATATGCTTAATTAGACTTGACTAAGTGATTCTAGACCTTCCTAACCTCAATCTAAAGTGTTTATACATCAAATCCTACTCTAAAACCTCAATTTCATCAACTTAGAGACCCAAATTCTAATTTACCACTTTGAACCTGATTTTAACCAATTTGATGACTCAAACAAGTCACATACTTATCTAAACTATCCCAACAGCCTCTAACAGCACTTGACCTCTAATACTCAAATTCACTACCTCACTTCCTCTAAATTGACTTTAAACAAGCACAATTCACTTCACTTCATACCTCATCACTACCACAATAGATTACTCACATAAACTACCTCCAACACGCACAATTACAACATTTAGATTAATCCAAAACAGTTCATCAACAACACATTACAGTTTCATAAATCCACCCTTTCAACACATTCAATTCACATTACCCTAAAACTAACAATTTAGTCCTAAACAGTAAAATGCTACCACATTCAACATATATACAGGTCATACAACAATTTAATACAGTAGCTAGCTCCCCTTACCTCAGAGATAACAGTCCCGCTCACAGAGATACACGGACAATTGACTTGCAACGCAAGGAAACTCAACATAAACCTACAACTCACCAATTGATGATAGAGAACAACACTTAGAACCTAAATCGAGCTATAAAATTGAAGGAAGAACTGCTAACCACATGCAAAACAAAAACGTTGCATGCTCACAGTCCAGTGAAGAACGGATAACAGTGGAAACCACTTACCAGCTGAAGAACACGAAATTGATCGATCAATATCGAAGCCCTCAACGCCAAGATCGCCTATGCACCTCCTGATCGTCGAACAGAAAACTCAACCGAGAGAGATTATAGAGAGAAGTCAGAGAACTATGAAGAATAGAGTTCTAGAGAGATGAAATGTTCTTAGAATAATGAGAAGTGTTTATAAAATTCTATTTATATTATAATATTATTTTAAAGTAAAATAGTCTGTCTCATTACTCTATAATACTCTATTTTTCATGTCCTTACAAAAACATAATGACAAATAAATACATTTAATAATATATTTTACAGTTATTTATTTATTTTTAATTAAAATAAATATTTCTCAAAAAATATATTTTTTATTTTTCAGAAGATTTTTTTTTAGTTTTGAATCATCATAATTCTTATGAAACTTTTAATATATAATAACTAAATCATTATGTTCGGTGGAAAAGTTTGCTTTATGTTTTAAACTTTACTTCTTCTTTTTTCATTTTTTTAATTAAGTATTTAAACTTTAATTGAAGTAATATTTTTAAATAAAATAAAAGGGTGGAAACACATATGGGTATTTGTGTACATATTTTTTATTTTAAATAAAAATTATTTAATTATAAAAAATTATTAAAATATCATTTTTATACTATGTTATTATTGAATAATTTTTTATTCTAAATAATTATTTAAATTTTAAAATATTAAAAATATATAATAATAAAATAATTATTTTATTTTATAAAATAATTAAATTTAGATTAACGGATCATTTAAAGATAAAAATGAAAATTATTTTAATTTAAAATAACAATTACTTAAAGGATAAATTTGAAAAAACTAGTGTGAAAAAAACGAATCCTGTTTAGATATATGTATAAATTACAAATGAAAATAACATTAATTAAAATATAAAAATAAATGAATGCTTATTTAGAAAGGGAAGATATATGAGTTTAAGTATTTATTTTAACATTAAATAAGATGTAAATGTTATTTAATATAATATCAACTATATTAGTATAGTGTTTTGTTTAAATTTTTATAATACTTATTTTAAAATATAGATTAATAACTCGTCACTGTTAGATTTATTTTTTATTCAGGATAAACAAAAAATATTTGATGCCGAGATAAGAAAGTAGTTGGGCAGGGGAAACTTCATGTTTTAGTTTTTCTTAAAAATTAAATATTTTTGAAACAGATTTATACTAAAGATTCAATAAATATAAATATGTCAAACAAGCATATATTTAAGCATATTCATATTATAAGAAAAAAAGCGGAAGTAGAAAGACCAACCTCCAACCATTGTTATATGCTTGTTTAACTTCTAGTTTCTGAATCCTTGCTCTTAAAACACGGTGATGATGATATGAAGTAAAGAGTAGACTCACTGGCCTGATTATAAAATTTCTATAGAACTCCAAAAACAATCACAAAGTATTTTAACATTAGAAGAGTTTGTTGCGGGAATCACAGCACATCCACGCACGTTTGAGAAAACCGATTTTAAAATGGACCACTATCAAGATATTAACTGAAAAGAAATAAAATAAATGGGAGAGGATATAATCTTAAAATGTAACCTCTCTTCTGTATAAAGACTAACAATTTTTTCATAATACAAACTAAAATTACAATAATTACTTTAATATTTTAAAAATATATATCTATGTATTTATATTTATATATAGTTTCAGTAGATTAAATTTTTATCTCTATGACTATATATACATGCACTCTTTTCATTATGTTTTTGCATATTTAACTTTTATTCGCCGTAGATTCCTATAATTCCTATATTAGCTTCGGTTGAGGAAATTGTTACTTTCTATAAGATTTTGTAATAATTTTTGGGTCAATTACAATAAACTCTTATTTAAAATATGTTATCATCTAGTTAAATTTGAACAATCAACTATAGTTTAGAAGGTTAATTTTCAATTTAAAAAAATCAATAAATTCGGCTAACCATACACAAATCTCAACAATCAATTCCTAACTTAGAAAATAAAGCAATGAGTTCGACCGACTACCAACCATGTTGGTGGGTTATGCACCATCGTGGATGATCAATCCTAAGTTTGAAGAGCAAACCAGCAAACCCGGCCAATTATCAAACAAGTCGTCTATCCAGATGGACAACCTCCAACTTGGAAAGCAATCGAGTGGGCCTGGCCAAGCATCAGATAGGTCGCCAGTTCATACACCAGCTCAGACAATACCAACTCAGAAAGTAAACCAACAAGTCAGTATGATCACTAAACAAACCGTTCAACCTTGAATTATATCGATCAGGATGAATGATATCATAGTGGATTAACTTTAAAATTTATTAACTTATGATTAAGGTATCAACTTGAAAATAACCACTGTCGTTTCCCTGACTGCCCTAGTGGGTGGACAAAGTTTTAATTCTATTCATTCAATAGATCATTTCATTTTTCAACTTACGACATTATACAGTAACACTTGATAATTAGGACTAAGCGACTCCTCTTAGGATTCTCAAGTGAAACACACTTAAAATATAAATTATAAAATGAAGATAATTTTATATAAGCAATCATAAATATAAAATTATTATTTTTTTATGAGCAGTGTTAATTGTTAGGATTATATTAATGATAAGAATTAAACGCGTTATACTGTTATTGCTAACTCACCAAATCACTGTTATAATTATTAAAAAGTGTTAGTGGATAATTTGAATTCACACTATGTCTCACATTATTACCAAATCAATCTTATAAATAAAATTTTATTCTTGTATAACATTAATTCTTTAATTAATGTAATAACGGAACGAATTTAATATGAATTCACTGTATTAAAAAATTGTGGGACCCTTGTTTCATCTTGACAGCAAGTACCATAATTAAATCCATTAACCTATGCCAAAAAAAATTTAGTTGAAGACTTGTCAATTGCTTTGAACCAAAGTAAACAGAATTACTTTAGATTTTAAACCAAAAGATATAATTGAGATTTTGATAAACAAAAGATAAACAGTTAACTATATTTTTACACCACAATCTTACAGACTATGGAGGAGCTAAATAATTAAACAGCAAAACTATACACATTGAAAAAATGAATCAAGTTGTAAAATTGGGATGGTCTTGCAAGACTCGTTCAATCTTTGTTCGATCAAGAGGCTTTTCAAAGCAATAGTTGGATCCTGCAGCAAAAAATTCTTCACCATCTTTCCCATTAGCACGCGTAGTAATTCCCACAATCAAGCACTTCACACCCATACCACGTAGCTCTTTTGTGGCCTAATTCAGACACCATCCATAATCACCATTAAATAATCATATTAAGCACCCTATAGTGACATAAAAGTATCATGATATATAGTAGTGGTACCTCGTGACCATCCATGATGGGCATTTCTTTGTCCATGAAAATTATGTCAAAATTTGCCCCACATCGATGCAGATCCACTGCTTCCTTTCCATCACTAACCGTTTTTGCGTCCATGTTAAATAACCGTGCCAACATCATCATGTGGATTTTCCGAATGACAGCATCGTCATCCACAATCAGTGCTGAAATTCTCGACCTTGTACTTCCTCCTTTGTTCCTCTGCTTCATTGATTCCATTGTATTCCCGATAGTTAACTATGCCTGTGTTAATTAACAGAAAAAAATTAGGAAAATGACGTGCACGTACACATGCATGAGATAGAAATCCAACTACAATAAATTCACGCATATAACATAATTAGAGAATCAACTGAAGTTTAAATCTGAAGTATATGTAACATATCGGATCTTAAATCTAATTCAAATTCATAATATGACAAAATGGGAATTACACTATACAATAAATTCATCATATTTTTAGTTGAGATAAAATTTCTAACATATCTTGAACATGAGATTAGAAAAACAAACAACAAATCCTGTACAATTTACTTATAACGAGAAATTTACATTCGAAAGAAAACAGTTCCACCCACAAATATAATGCTTGACGTTATAAAAACAAGAACAAAATGGCATACGTTACACGTACATAGAAAATATGTGCTCGAATCACTGACTTCAGTTCTTTTGATTATAGCTGCTGAAAGGTACATCCGATGAAGTTCTTGCAGCTTATAAATAAATACTAAACATATAGATATTAAAAATGATATAGATTGAGAGAAATATAAGCTGAAATGGAAGATTGATTGTGTTTCATTTTTTCCTGTTCGATAGGGATCACGTCAATAATTTCACCACTGAATTAGATACGCAATATTAATTTTTGGTATATTGGATTGCAATAATTATTATCCCCATATTTAATCCAAATCCATTGAATGATATCAAGGATAAAACTATGTAAAAATCTTTATTTAAATGCTAAAAGGATGAGATGCAAAACCCCAAATATGATTATCCACTAAAGTATAGTCTTAATTTATAACAGAAACGCATTAGATTTCACTTCTAACTCTTGTGTAGAGATTTTCCAGTTTTAGGAGAATCTATTTCTATATCTATAGTATTAATTTATACTATTAATAGAGAAGATAATTTCATTTTATTTTTTCTATTTTTTCCCTTTCTTAAATAGTTTATAAACTTTCCTCTTTCTTTTTTACTCATTTAAATATTATATTTTCTGTTTTCTTCACTTTTATGTTTTTCTTTTGCCTTAATTAAAATGCAATATATATATATATATATATATATATATATATGAAAAAACATTTTACTTCAAATCATAAGTGTTGTTTTTCGATCTTTTAAACAATGTTTTAAAAAGTTGTCACTTTATACGATGAAAACATACACATATTATATTATATTATTATTATTACTATTAGGGTTAAATATGTTTTTAATCCCTAAACTATTGGTCGTTTCTGGTTTTCGTCTCTCTTTCAAAGTAAGGTACAATTTGATCCTCATTCTTTTCGAAATGTTCGTTTTAGTCCTCAGAATTTTGGTAGGACTAAAACGAACGTTTCGAAAAGAATGAGAATCAAATTGTACCTTACTTTGAAAGAGGGACGAAAACCAGAAACTGTCAATAGTTTAGGGACTAAAAACATATTTAACCCTTATTATTATTATTATTATTATATATATATATATATATATATATTATAATATAATATATTCTTAAAAAAACTTACTTATTCGAAGTGTCACGTCTTAATTTTAGTTTACAAGTAATAAAGCAAGACAATAAAATATTAATAAAATTAAAACAAATTGTCTCAAATTATAAACATAAAATAATTAGACGATTATGAAGAACATTTTATAGTATTAGTCTTTTATCATATGTTTCAACACATTCGTTACATACTAATAAAGTATTCATCATAAAAAAACAACACAAAAGAAAACAAAAAGAGACAATATATAAGATAACCTAGTGTTAAAATAATATATTATCAAATTATTTGTATCAACATTTATAAAGTATTAGAAACTCTTAAAAACATACATATGTTGATTTTAGACTCAATTATTTGGATATATGTTTTGACAGAGTTTCACTATAGGTGTGCACTCGTAATAGTGTTTATACTCTATAGAGTTATAAACATAGCAGTTATCACCCTACACTCACAGGATAAATCTTTCACGCCTAAGAACAAAAGTCTAAGGTAAAGACCTCCTGTCATTCTCTCCTACACACCATTCATCTCTATATAAGTTGAATGACACGTAATATATTAGGATATCTACTTTCTAAACTCTCATATGTCAAACATACATTAAACATTACCGAGACATAAAATTTCTCGTTGAAATTCTTTCAATATCAAAACCATACATCAACATATCAAAAGTTTTCATATATATGCAAATACTCATTATACTCACGAAAAACATTAAGAATTATACAAATCAATACGAAGCAACCAAAGGAAAAAACCAAAAACATGGAATTTAAATTGGTGTTCAACGAAAACTCTGACACTCAACGCCATTCTTCTCGTAAATGGCTCGCTCAGAGAACTAGACTTAAAATGGTTTTAGATTTGTAGTGAAAAATGTTGCTCAATGGTGCCCTACGTACCACCGTTTAATGCCAAACCATTTGCATAAATGGTCACTCAGAGGGAAAAATAGGCGCTCGTCTAAAGTAAAATTGTTTCCAGACTTGCAGTATCAAACTAGAACTCAGTGCCACATTACTGTCGCTCAATGCCATATCAAAAAACAATCACTTCAAATATGTGATTAGGGAAAAAAAGACTTGTTCAGATGATCAAATTGCTATTCCTGACTCAATGCTTAGTTAAAAATAGTTCTTAATGTTAGAATGAACACCAACTTGATCAAATGGTGAAATCCTTAGTTTCCTCAATTACCAGAGTCCAAACAAAACCAACACTCAGTTGAAACAATCAAATATACCATGCAATTCAATACAAATTCAACATAGCAAATGCAATATCCAACTCATGCTTATTAAAGTATATCACTTTCCTTGACCAAACAACTTTAAAGGTTCTAAAATATCTCCAAAAGCATAAAAAAACTCTATTTGCTCATACGAATAACAAAAACACTATCAAACATACCATTAGGATCATTGATTAATAGAGACTCTTAAAGATGACTATGATGTCACATGTAACTCCAATTAATTTGCATGCAAAGGAAAACAAAACAAACCAAAGAAAGAAGCAGAAAACCAACTTACTCTATTTGAGAAATTGATCGGCTTTCAAACTCTGTTATATTTCTCAACAGATTTTGAAATCTGTTACATTTTTCAACAAATTTCAAAATCCATTTAGAATTATTTTCTGACCTTTTAAGTTTTTTAATTTTATTCTTTTACATTTTTTTATTTTAATTTTTTAAATATTTTTTACTTGTTTTAGTTTAATAAAATATATTTTAAAATATTAAAATATTAACATATATTAAATATTAAATTAAATGAAATATTTACTAATTTTAAATTGAAAAACAAAACTTAAAAGAATATGATAAACGAAAACATATGTATTGATGACTTTCAACAAATTTTGAAATTTATTGAAATCTTTTAAAAATTCTTTTCTATGAATTTTCATTCAAATTTTCAATAGATTTCGAAATTCAAAGATTTTTTTTACGGATTTCAAAATTCATTTAAGTAAGTTTTAAAATTTATCTAAATTTTCAACCTATTTTGGAATCTATCAAAACATTCAACGATTTTTGTAAAACATCAAAAGTGGAAGTGTAAGATTTTTTGAGTTACAAAAAATGAAAAGCTTTAAAAAAATTACTTTAAGTTATCTTTTTTTATTATAAAATAGATAGTTTTGGGATTTTAAAAAAATTTGGAGATAAAAAAAAAAGTTGGAGGTGCAGAGATAAACTTCCAAATTTCAATGAATGTTGGTGTGAACGTAGATAAATATAGGAAAAACCCTTAGCTAATCAGTTCTATTTTAGCCTCTCTTTTTTTTTCAAATTGTTATAAATTAAAATAAAAGAATTATTCATCTTATGTGATTCCAATCCAATGAAAGCTTCTCAAATTATAAATGAAAAAAATTAATTTATTCATTCTGCAAAAAATAATATATATAAGCATTTCAAATTTTGATATAAATTAGGCAACAAAATAAATATTAATCATAATAAATAAATAAAAAGCAATAAACACAACTTTCATGAACAATTGTTACGATAATAATTAGATATAATGTTAAGGTTTCAAAAACATGTTTTTGGTTTCTATTAAACAAAAATTATAATTAAATAAATAATAAAATATTAAAAAATATCATAAAGTGATTTTCTTAATCACGTAAATAAATAATAGATTATTTAAATATTAATTATCATATGTTAAAGCATATAAATATAAATAAGCTTTTAAAACTACTCTAAAAATATTTCCATGAGGTTTAATCATTTCGGAGTTCTCTATTCCTACATATTCGTATCAATTGGATTTTCATATTTTGAAAGGGGTCCCTATTTATAAAAAATTGAATCAATAAAGCCTCTATGTTAAATCATGTGGACGGCGTTAAAAGTGTTGCTTGGTGGCTAGGTAAGGTGACATCTCATAAGCACGTGGCATCCAAAGACGTTAGTAGGTGGACATAAATGATTTTTTAATTTAAAAAAAGTTTAGAAAAGTCCTCGCCACATCACCACCCTGACACGTCATCATCACCATCTGCAGAGAAACCCTAATTTTTCTCCATGAAACCCTAGCCGTCGTCTCCAACGCATCACGCGCCACTACCAAAGCGTTTTCTCCCTTCTGTTGCACGTCCATCACCTTCGCATATCACCGGACCATCCAATCATTCCTAGAAAACAGAACCCAAAATCCAAATCGCGAAGGTGATGCGTTTCGGCCTTCGTTCTCGCGCCACCACCCAACGTGATCCCTTGCTACGCCGCGACCACCAATCTTCACCATTTTCACCCTCGCACCAGCCAAATCGCTGTCGCGCCAGTAGCACTGCCGTCCAATCTCCACCACAGAATCGTCCACCATACGTCGCTGCTGCAGATCGCGAATCGTCACTCTTCTCCACCACTAACTGCGTCGCTGCTTGCATCTGCAACCACAATCAGACCTGCAAGCAAACCAGAAGCCAAGTTCAAGCGTCGTCGCATAACACCGTGGAGAC